TTTGTATTACACTATGATTATGATTATTATTATTGACTGATTGTTAATCAAGATGACATCTAGTTGTATACTGACCATAAAGAAAGTTTGACATATGCAATTTTGCATCTTTAACATCTAAATTTGCATTATTATTCTGAATCTGTATTCTATATGTGTTACATGTAGGTGGATAAATGTTTTCTCTACATTTTAATGTGTCTTATGACTTAGAGTATATTGGTGTATTTAAACATGTATCTGTTTAAATAGTAATTACTGCAGATTAGAAAATTGCAATTAGCAAACAGAAATTAATACAAATACATCTTTACTTTCTTCAATATTCCACTTAAAAACATGTTTCTGATTAGAATGGAGAACAAATATGCGTAGCTTGCCAGTGCTACTGACATGTATATATGGGTTGCTTTGGCAAAATATATTTGTTGTGTGAACTAAAACTATTTTGAGATTCTTCAGTGCCATATTTTGAAAACACCATTACCTTGTACTGTGTGTTTGCATTTATACACCAATTTTATAAAACAAGATCTAGTATAATTCTTAAAAATGGGCTTTAAACAGTTTTTACATGTATTGGATGTCCTGGATAGCTGTACTAATTCCTGTGCTTGGCTTTCTGGATTTCAGTGAAACAAGTCTGAGTTCATGCTCTGCACACTGTATGTGAACAAAATCATCTTTATAGAACATTTTCAACCCACTGACTGTGGTAAGGCAGTTATTATAGATACGTCTTAAGCTATTAACTTGGTTAGGCCACAAAACATTTTTTTTCCTCCAACTGGATATTCAGATTCTGTTTACCTCCTGCTGCACATAGGGTGAAGAGTAGAAGGCTGGTGGACTTTCAAGGCTGGTAGACTGACAGTCAAAAAGCATTATTGAAAAATTTCTTTTTGCATGCATTTAGCTTTTATCTATATAGACAAAACTGTACTTGATCTGTGCTCTGAGCCACCTGGATACTTTAATGCATCATTGATGTCTACCCCTTGGCTTTCTGCTATGCCACTGGTGGCTTAATGGTTTCTGTTTTGATTGTATTTTGAATATGACTGTCTTGGAATGTGAGCAAGTCTCATACATATCTGTCAGTGAAATACATAGGCAGTCTGTCTTTAAATGCCTGGCTGCTCTGCCTAGGCAGGGTACTTGAACCCATGCTAGCTGCTAATGTAGCAAGTTACGGAAAGGATTTTCATTCGGGTTAGCGCATGGTACATTCTTGCCTTGTTTTAAAATAGAACATGAGATTGGTCTGATTGGTCTGCTTCTGTATTTCTGCTAGAATGACTATAAATTACTGATAAGTCTTTGAAAGACTGAATTTCAGTTTGTGGTCTGTGCATTACTTTCAAATAATCTGGTTTTAGTTAAAAAAAACCCCAAAACCACAAAACCCAAACCCTAAGAAAAGATAGTAGGCTTAAATTGCAGTGAAAGTTATGATTCACTATTGGAAGATTTTCATAAGTTTGAAAGATTAAGAACTGTTGTTAGGGGCTTCCACATAGTTTTCCCCATATATAAGAAGAAAATATCTATCTAGCAGGGTGTAAATGATTTCACCTATTGTAAGTTTTGGGGTTCATATACTGTATATAGATGAGTTATGCTGAGCTAAGGTATACCAGGTGTGTTATGGTTATACTGTTTAATGCTAGTGAAGTCTTAAAAAAGACCTGTAAGTATTCCTCTGATGCGTCACATGCAGAGTCCATTAGGGACACGAGCCTGTTTCTGACCGCACCTAGGCAGGCAGTGTAACATCTAGCTGGTCCGTCCTGAAACTCTGCTGTAAAGACCTACTTCTATGCAAGCTCTTTGTTTCCTTGTGGCCTCTTCCATGCCTGCCCCCTCCAAGGCCTCATCAGCTTCCTTGTCAGCCTCCTTCTGGCCATCCTGGACATCAGTGCTATCAAGAAGGAGGATCTTGATGGGGAAATCCTAATGTGTGTAGGCCTGTTCCCATTCCTTGGTGCTTCAGCACTGCCTAGCAGAACTCTCCTGGATAGTGTCTGCCTGCTGCTTGGGAGCCATCAGGGCAGAGAATGGGTTGGAACTGCTGTCCTCAGCATCGCCTTCCCATTTTTGACCATTTGACTCCCCCAACCCCTTTGTTGGAAACACCAAAAGAAGTCAATCACTTGGTTTGGTTTTTTCTTTTCCTTTCCTAAGAGAAAACTTACAAAGAGAAACCTTTACTGGAGTACAACCAAGAGTGGCACAAACCAGTGAGAGAGAATGATTTTGAAAGGAGTACAAGAAGAAGGGAAAACAGAATTAGCTTTTACCCATGTAGTTTCTGAATTGTCAGTATTAGCTGATGCTTGTCTAGCTGTGTATGACAAGATTTTTACATTTCTTAATGAAATTTTGATTGGTTAACTGATTGCCTATCTAGCACCTACTGGAAAAATGCATATTTCATAGCTGAAGTAGTGCACATGTGATATGTTTAATTTATTGTAATATCACATTATTTTTGTAGTATTTTAACTGATATGTATATATGAACTGTTTTTTTTCTTAAAAATAAATTTTTTGCAATATACAGAAAAAACCCAAACAGCTTATTTGTAGTGATAGGAAAGTTTGCCTTTTTATTTGAAGTTATTGCTATTTAATAGCCTAAAATTTATTAATTGATCCTGGTATATTGAAAATACATTAATTTCTGTGGTTTCTTCTGGGAATTAGGATGTACTACTGATGTAGAGACATACTTCTTGCTTTCTGTAGGG